TATAAACAACTATGTAAAGTAAGTTTTTGGAGTGGAGGCTTTTCCATTGTTGATTATCGAATTGTGAAACATCAAAAGGTGGTCTCAATTAATAACAATATTTTTAGGAATAATGAGAAGTATAGATTATGATTTTTTTTAACATAAGTCTGAGTGATAGAGTTCCAGAGTTAAAGTGTCAGATATATGAATTAAAGTTAGCAAGAGGAGATGATAAACAATGTGAAAAATGGAACATCCGGTTTATATAAGAAAGAAAAATAAAACCAGAGTTACAGTACAACTAACTAAAAAGAAACATGTGGATAAACGTGAAACAGAGGGGCATCCTATCGCAGGGTGGGAAAATCAACAATACTTAATGATAGAGGAGTTAACTAGGCAGGAATTCGCCAGGTGATCAACAACAACACCGATTTTAGACAAAACAAATCAAAGAAAAGTATATTAAAAACATACTATAAATAGTGTGTTCTCATGTCTTCATGATTAATGTCTTATTTATTGCCACTTTGTTTGCATCTCAGGCTAACTCGAAAACAGAAGAAACTGCATCAGGTGTAGCAAATGGGATGATTTTATCTCTGCGTGAAAGGTAATGCAACTGTTTGTAAATTGTAATATTATATTTAAATCATATAGAAGTTAACCCTTGCATATCTTTCTTTGTGTTATGACTTGTGTAGGCTCCTGTAAATATAATCTTTCCACATGCCAAGTATGTATAATTTTGTTTTATATAAATATGTTGTAAATATCTTTAACCATCATACAGTAAGATCTAAATACGGTAATGACAATATATTTTTCCAAAGCACAACAACAACAATGATTTTTAACATCTACGGTGAAAATCTATGATGAAAAGTCCATATCAGGGGAGGCTTTGAGCAGGGGCAGATTCGTCAATCCAGGGGGAGAAGCCCTATAGATAGGAATATCCAAATATAGAGCATCCACACACTCTACCACACCCTCAATGAAGCAAACAGTAAACAGATGCGATGGTACCACAGATCCTTTGACGGGTGTATTTTGGTCCGGATTTCCATCAGTTGCGGGGCCATGATTCCTAGCACCAAATTGTTGGTATAACTATCTGCATTCTTCTTTTGGTTCCTAATTGACCATCACTTCAATGTTGACAGTTTAGGGGAACTTGGCTGGACTGTGAGTATCCTTACTAATAACTACATTTTAACTATAATACCAAGAGTTAATGTCATAAAATAAGTTGTGCATATATGCCAGTCTTACCCTCCATGTTACTGAATGACAAAGGTATATTTTTCTAACCCCGTGATACCATGGCTAATTAAGGTGCAGGAAAAATCCTTGTGACCATATATTTAAAAATATATATAAATAGATGGATTTTTGATGATATGATTACAAGATTCTCTATTAAAAATGCAGATCATACTAAAGATCCAGCTGTAGATGAACAACTAAACCATGTAAATTTGTTTATGATAGTATGATACTTTCATTTATTTTTCTATTATAACATTATACCTTAAACAATCTACAAATTATAGCAAAAGGTAGTTACGTAAAATTTTCAAAGTATAATGTTCAAATAAGAAAAAGTTGAAACTACATTGTTATTTCTCACTAACCTTCATGAGATTCCATCCCCCTTTTTGTCTCAATCGATAATCATGGATGTCAATTTTTCAAACTAATCTTTTTTTCAATATTCATGACATGTATTTGGCTATATTGATACATTTTCTGTACAATGATTACATTTAGAAGCCATTTAGTTATTTTACTTGGATATAATGATCACAGAAATAAGTTTTTTTTTTTTAAATGATTTCTTCAAAATGGTCTTTATGATAGTTTACTGTTTAATCATTGTGATGTATGGTTTGAATTTAGAAGATTTATGGTGTAAAGTAATTTTCTTTAAAAAGAAATTGTAATTTGGTTTTTTTTGTTTAGGGACCATATGAAATTTTGACCTCCTTTGGCTTTTGATACAAATTTGTGGTTTTTACTTCTTTGGAGGAGGAAAACAAAGGTGCACTTGTATTACCATGAAGATTTATTGTGAATACTGTATAATGAAATATACATTGCTATAATGAGCGGTCAATTTGTTCATGTTTGTTATTAGTTGACTTTTTTTTATTAAGTATAGAAAATTTTTTGGCTTTTACTTTTCGTTCTAAAATACTAAGGGTTAACTTTTTATTAAGTAGTTGTAAGTTACGTTATATCTTTTTTTTTATTTAGATAAACACTAATATTATATTGTTGCTTTTATGGTTTTTATAAACTTTATCTAAGAAATGAATAATATTATGTTATAAGGGTCGTAAACATTCAAGCTTAAAACTAAAAACTAAAAACTCAAAATTCTAACTTGTAAATCTTAAACACTAAAACAAACTATTCATTGATGCATGCTTTGTGTGTAGTTTATACTATAATGTTTTCAAAAAAAGGTTTTATTTAAGACCTAACAATTCCAATAAAATTTATTTTTAAATGGATATGTCTCTGAAAGACAAATATAATAGCCAAACTAAAGCTTATTTTTCTATTTTATTTGTTTATTTAAGTAGAGTATTATTGTTTTTGACAAGAACTTTATGCATGAAACTAATATAATAAAAAAGGGAGAATTTCATATATGCCCTTCTTAAACATCAAAATATAATATTTACCCAACTTAATTTCTAAATATCATATTTACCCTTCATAAAATTTCTAAATATCATATTTACC